ATCATCACAGTTGAATTCAAAGGACAAGAGCATCAAGTCTTTGTAGCTGATGAAATGTATACTTTTTTAAAAAACGGTAACTATAGAATATAGTATTATTTAATGTACTAGGTATATGACATGCAAATATAATTATTGTGTTTTGAAAATTATGTATTTTTTATGTAATATGGGAAATAATAATAAATGTATCATAAGATTAGATTAATTCACCAAGATTTAATATACAAAATTGTTTTTTTTCTATATTAGATGCAGAACAGTTAAACAAATATATTTTACATATACTCAAAAACAATTTGTTAAAACCGACTGATAAATTCCCACTTCAAGGTGCCCAGAAGTCAAGTTCTTTGTTTGACACAACATTGGAAATAGATGATGAACACATAGGTAATAATAGATTAATTATAAAAATATATTCAGTGTTATGTTAACAAATTATGTAATGTTTTAGTGAGACCATTTTTTAAAAACGTATCCTTAGTACAAACATTTTAATAACTGAAAAACTACTAGTTCAAATTATTAATTTAATAAGTACCTACTTACCAAATAGAATTTAATTTTTTTTTTTTAGGTAATTCTGTCCTCTTATATTTTCGTTAAACACTGCAGGCAATCGTTCCTAGAAAAACAACCTTAAATATTTTGGCATCAAAGGCAACTTATCCCAGCCTTTTAACAAGACACTGCATATATTTTATAATCATAAAAAAAACCAATTATATAATAATATATCAATATCATAAATTACTGAAAATATTGATATTGGGAAAATTATTGTAGAGCCTATTGCTGATGACTTTGAAGAAGATAATAACAAAAATCCAGAGGCTTTGATAAACACAGGTAAATTATTATTATTTATTTATTTGTTAATAGTATAACAACATACAACAAATCAATATTACATTAAAATTAACAATTAACATCTCCCCACTAAGAATAGCTTGTGGTTGGAGGATGGTACTTTAGCTTGTTTGACAAAGTATATCACAAATTCTAGTACGATGACACCTAGAATCCAAGTATGATCTAAATATGCTAAGAGCTACTAGTGTATTCTATATTTTTAATTAAAATTGGATGATCCACAGTTTAATGCTTTTTTATATTTAAAAAAATTCTAGTTATTTTTATAACTAGAAATTTAACAATATAATCTGTAACTGTAACAAGTGCTGCATCATTCGTTGATTTATTTTACATAAACTCAAATTGATTTCTTGAAAAGAATTTTATATTAGTAATTGCAGCAAATTTCTATATTTGTTGTAGAACAATGCAAAGTTACAATCAAAAGAATGTTTATTTTTGATGGTATGAAGCTTTTCTCTACCTACATCTAATTGGTACTAAACCTCTATTGTGGTCTAGTTTTTAATTTATGATTATTACTTATAAGTTAAATGTGTAAATTAATGTATTATTTTATTAAACATATAATATTAACATTGGTTATAATACATGCTTGAGATTTGAGACCTGGAAAGTGACTAACTTCACATTAAAACGATTGATATAATGTTTAAATTTAAATGTATGGTTTATTAATTACAATAACTTTGTCTTGTAATTTTTAGACAGTTCTACTACTGAAATATCAGAAGGCAACACGTCATATAGTCCAAGTATGTTAGATTAGTAATTTAATCATTTAACACATAATTAGTATTAAAATAAAATAAAACTAATGTCATTATTTATTTATTATTAAGACCCTATCTAATTTGTGTCTGCAGATACAGATCGATGGCCAAAAGATCATGTTCTGGTGCTCATAGATGCATTTGAAAAAAACCAAAATATGTTTTCTTCTACAACTGTTAGGAAAGAAAAGGTATGGCAAGTTATTGCAAAACATTTAAAAAATACCAGTATAAATAAGACAGCTATCCAATGTGAAAACAAGTGGAAAAACCTAAGAAAATTATACCTCAAAAAACAGAGAAATAAAAAAGCCACTAGTTCTGGTCAATGTGCGTTTTATTTTGAGTTTGAAGAAGAATTTGATCGCATTTATAAAGAAGAACCTTCATTTACACCAGTAGCTTTAGCAGGAAATCTTATTCAAGAAGAATCGGCCAAGAATTTTAATATTGATGATAATCAGACTGAGTACACACCTCCATCAAAAAAGACAAAGCCAGACTCATTAAGCAATATGTATTTGTTTATGGAAAAAAAAGAAGAAAGCCGTGAAAAAAGACATAGAGAATCAATGGAGCTGCAAATAAAATCATTGAAGCTTCAACAGGATGCTGTAGATGCATATACAAATACAATGGATCAGTTCCTATCCATTTACAAAAATAATTCTACCAAATAATATATATAAAGTTATGTTTGTTATAAATGTTCCTACTATTACAGACTATAGTATACAATTGTTAGTCATGTTCCTACCCATTCCTACTAATACACAAGACAGTGTAAAAAAATAGTATAAAACTATTAAAAATATATTCAACGTTTATTAAGTTTTTGTTAATTTTATAATATAGATTAATATTATAATAAATAACTATTATCATTTTTTTGTTAACACATGGTATAACGTGTTTTTTTTACTAATGTAACAAGGTATGTTATTAAGTTTTTGTTAATTTTGTAATAAATAACTATTATTATTTTTTTGTTAACACATGGTACAACGTGTTTTTTTTACTAATGTAACAAGGTATGTTATTAAGTTTTTGTTAATTTTGTAATAAATAACTATTATTATTTTTTTGTTAACACATGGTACAACGTGTTTTTTTAATAATGTTACAAGGTATGTAATTACATATATTATTTTAAAATGTTATTGTTAAGTGTGTTTCATTTTGAATTTGATAAAATTTACAAATATGAACCCTCAGGTTCAGTGACATTAGCCGGGAATCTTATTGTAGAAGAAATTGCAACAATTTGTGACAATGATGATACCAAAGTCATGCCTAAAGTAAAAAAAAGAAAGACAGACTCCATAAATAACATGGATTTGTTTATTGTTATTGATGGGTAATATTTTATCCATAATTGCCAAAGCTGAAATAACAAATAAAAACAAATAAATAAATATATTAAGTTAAAGAAACCATAATTTGGTCTCTTTTCATACAGCCGGACTGGGTATTTTCTATGTAAGAAGTTAATTGCTCAGCAGTAATATTATCATCACCAATATTAGGTTGTTGTTCTGAAATCAAATTGTTCATCCATTGATTATCATCAAACTGCAAACAAATATTATGCAGGACACAACAAGCAATTATAGTTTGTGGAATCAGTTCTATTTTTTTCATATCTAAATACTTCAAGCGTCTAAAACGACCTATATCATTGAAAATGTAAGTGTTAATTATAATGCTATTTTTTATTTATAATGAATTATTTATAAAAAATAGTGAAATACCTTTTAACAGTGCAAAGCATCTTTCAATGGACTGCCTAGCACGTGACAATGAAACATTAAAAAACTTTTCTTGTTCAGAAAGGGTACCTCTATCAATATATGGTGGAATGCACCATTCGAGTATTGGATATGCCTTATCTGCAGCAATGAAATATTGACCTGGAACATATCTAATTAAAATACCATTATTCATATAATATATTATGTAGGTACAATGATGTACATTTAATTAATGAGTAAATGATTAATGTAATTAATATATTCACCTATTTTTGTTTTGCAAGATTCGTTCATAAATTAAAGAATTAGTGAATACTCTTCTATCACCTACAGATCCAGGATAACCAGCAAATGCATCAATAAATCTCAATTTATCATCACATACACCTTGTAATATTATTGCATGAAAACATTTTCTAGTAAGATAGGAATTTGCTGATTTCTTAGGTGCAGGAATTGGAATATATGATCCATCAATAACACCTATTATATTATTTAAACCGGTTTTTGACATCTTACCAAAATTAAGTTGAATTTGATTCATTTGTTCAATTTCGGGCCAATTAATAATTGTAGGGGATAATCTATGTAAAACAGTAGTTACACGGACAAAACTATCATGCAAAGAACTTTTACCAACATCAAATCTGTCAGAAACTGATCTAAAAATTTAATACAAATTTTATTTTATTAATCACGTAAAAATATGGAGGATATTGTCATTATATCAAAAAATAAATAGATAATTATATAGGAGTAATTAATTATACTATGACATCTTTTAGTAGGATAAACTGTCTAATTTTATTAGGTATTTAATTCTTTACACAAACCGAAAACTATCTGGTGTAGCCAATAACCAAATAACTGACAATAGTTGTAACCTCTCATCAGAACCTTTGCGTCCTTCTACACAAGTTTTCTTTAGAAGGGGAGCACAAATTTGTAAACATCTTTCAAATGAGGTTGGTGACAACCTAAAGTGCTGTTGAAATTGTTTATGTGTGAAATTTGGTATTGTCTGAGAGATAAAATCTTGCACTCTAAAAGGTTTTACTCTATTGCCCCGTAAACGATTAATAAATTCATAATCGAATTCATCATCTGAACTATCAATGTCAATCTATAAACAAATTGTAAAATAAACTACTAATTAACAAAATTGTATTACAAATGTATATAATTATAAATGTTTATCTTACAAGAACAAATTTTCTTTTTAACTCATTGTTCAATGATTTCCCCATTGAATCTATCATCATAAACAGTTCTGTACTCTCGTGGCTCATCTTGCAATACCTAATTCAATGTTATGTATGACTGGTAGACAAACAATAGGACCGGTAGTAATTAATTAGTTTAGTATAATACTATAATTAATGTTTCCGACTCCAAAGTGTATATTTAAATTTAAATTGATTTTCTTATTTTTAAATATTTTATAAATTGATATGATATAGCTTATCATTTATCAGTACGTAAAAGATTGATAACAGTATATCGTTCGGTTATTCGGAGTAATATGGTTTAGAGTACAGCTGATAAACTCTACTCTACTCTAACTCTACTCTCACTAAACGTACTCTACTCGAACTATTCATATTCGAACGCACCCCGGGTTGTCAATTATGACATTTTCAGTTTGGATGTTATCATCCAAAAATTCAGATGGAACATCAAAATGATCTGATGTTTCTTCTGTAACGACACAATCATCTAAAAGAACAAAATATTGTTTTACAATACAAATAAAGATTTATTTACCCCTTATTTAATTGACTTACTTTTAAATAATGTTGGTATTGCTGTATTAAATAATCTGGTTTTTTCAACATTTACGTACATTTCATTTTCAAAATGAAGTGAACACAATCTGTGATTCCTATTCAGAATATCAGGGTCAATAGTTGGTAAATTAATTGGTTTACACTTTTCAATCCAGACAGCACATCTATAATAATTAAAACTATTAGTAGAGGGTACCAAAACAATTATTTGTAATGCATGATAGAAAATAAACATCAATGAATTTGATGGACATACAAATACAATGAAGTTACAAGAAATAGGTTGGTACATTTTTGGTATTTCTTACCTTGCTTGATCCTTTGGAAATCTATGAAAGCTCGTTTCAATTTGTTTTTTTCCAAAGACAATACTGCTGCAATTCGCCAAACAACAGGAATGGCCACCCGAATACATTGCAGTTTTACAATTAGTAGTAGTTTACAATTAAAAAAACTAAAAATGTTAAACACAACTCGGAATAAAAACAAATTGAGCAATGTGAAACGGAAATTTCAAACACAGATTCAAAGAACAAACATGAAACAATTAATAACAATGTCATATATCAATAACTTATCACTGAAAAATAAAATATTTACAATGATAACATTAAAAATGCGCCGACTCAGTTTCAGCAGCAAAAGAGAATTTGTAATTATTTTCGAAACCTGGCAACACTGATATCTCAAACATTTTTCACGGATTTTCGAGTTCTCATTAAGTGCACCTTCTGGTTATTCTGTGGTCCTACCACGTCTTCAACAAACGAAAACATTGAAAAAATCGACCAAATTATTCGGCAAGATCGTCGATTAAGTGTTAGAGCTGTAGCAGAGATGGTAAATATCGATTGAGAAAGTGTTCGTAGAATTTTAATTGAAAATCTGAACATGAAAAAAGTGTGTGCCAAAATGGTCCTTAAAAATTGATCAGTTGATCAAAAATTCAATCGTAAAGAAATTTGTTCAGACACTTTAAAAATAATCAAAAACGATCCATTTTTTTTAAATAGTATTATAACGTGTGACGAAACATGTTTTTTACATATGATTCTGAAACTAAAAGGCAATCCATGCATTGGAAGACACCAACTTCCCAAGAATTAAGAAAGCACGAATGAGCAAGTCAAAATTCAAAGCAATGCTCATTATTTTTTTTGACATTAAGGGAATAATTTTTATTGAATGGGTTCCTAGTGGACAGACAGTCAACCAATATTATTATAAAGAGGTATTAATTAAATTGAGAGAACGAGTTAGAAAAAAACGACCAGATCTGTGGAAGAATGGCTGGGTTCTTCACCAAGACAATGCTCCAGCTCACAGTTCATTTTCAATTCAACGTTTTTTGACTGAAAAAAAAATTTCTATATTGCAACATCCACCGTACTCGTAAGACCTGGCTCCTTGTGACTTTTTCCTATTCCCAAAAATTAAAAGTTCGTTAAAAGGAACCCATTTTCAAACAGTTGATGATGTAAAAATGGAAACGGCAGAACTTCTAAAAGGGCTGACTGAAAACGATTGGCAACATTGTTTTCAAGAATGGCAGCGACGTATGCAGCAGTGTATAGATGCTGAAGGTAGTTACTTTGAAGGTGATAATCATTAAATTATACAATTTTAAAAATAAATCATTGCATTAGAAAAATCTCGTAACTTTTATGTAACACCTCGTATACAATACACTCTGTATATCGGTCCACATAAATCTGCATGTATTAAATCTCCGACGTTAAAATATTCGGTCTCACTTTAACTGAATGATTGACGGTGTTGTTTCCCGATTATGCAGTCGCTGCATACAAATTGATCGTCCTTGGCTGAATAATCAATATTATGTTTTGCCAAATAATTCCTCACGTATTGAATATTCTGGTGAGCTAAACGCTTACCTATGCCATACTTCTAATCGTTTTTCTACTGCAATGTTCGCATAACATTCAGCTTTCGATGGTGCTTCGACTTTGATCTGTAATTCAAACAACCTACCGCATCTTGTGCCTATGCATACAGGAATCCCGTTTCTTTTGAACACACACGTTTTATTGTCTGACGTTAATTCTAAACCTTTGTCTAACGCTCACCCGCACGAGAATAAATTAAATTTTAATCCCGGCACGTGCAATACATTTGCCAAGTAATTTTTATTTCAATTACCGTTCACGTATGATAATATATTAATATTACCTTTTCCTGTTGCATACAGATTTGTTCCGTCACCGATTGTTACCTGTTGTGTATATTTCAATGGTTCATAACTTGTAAACCATTCTAGGTCCGACGCGCCTGAGTCTAAGACCCACGTATCTGTTGTAGTTTCATTTATCCTTGACTCGCTTACAAATGCATTTAAATTTGTACCTGTAGTACCGGTTTTCCCACCTTTCATACTACTTAGAAAATTCTTACAGTTTCTTTTATAATGACCAATTTTACCACACTAATAACATTTAACATTACTTTTATTAGTAAATCGCTTTTTACCTTTACCATAACTGCCGTTTTTTCCATCGGATCTGTTTTGAAATTTGGTCGGAAATGCACTCGATTTCTCTTGTTCACCAACTTCACCTTTGATCTGGATAACCCGTGATTCTTCAATCAACAACCGACTAGTTAAATAATTTATATTTTTACTTCCCGTTGGGACTGAATCTCAAGCACTGTAAAAATGATTATATTCTTTTGGTAATGTCATTAGTATTTTTGTCATAACCATGTTATCCGTAACTGGTTCACCCGCTACTCTCAGTTTCCTTCCTAAATTGACCAATTTAGAAATATGCGTCGACATGTCATCTGTCGGCTCCTTTGAATAACTGAAAAATGTTTGTTGAAGCAAATGTAAACTTGCCTCAGACTTCTGCTCGTAAATACTCAGCAGTTTCTCCCACATTTCCAATGCAGTCTCACAGTTAATCAAATATCTATTGTTATGGACCAGCGTCCACTGAGGTAACTATTATTTTCTGACATTTACCGTCCGCTTAAAAAGATTATTTTGTTGGTAATTACCATTATTATTCACAAAAGCATTATTTTGATTTGCTACACTTGAATGTTGATTCTGAATATCATTAAATAATTTGAATGCGGTGATATGTGTTTGTGCATTCAACTAGGTATAACATTAATAAATATTAATGAATGTGTATGGTTTATTAAAAAATACTATTTAGTATAAAAATACAATTCAGATACTGCAACATTTGTATGCATTTAATGTGTAAAATACCAACTCTTATCTATTGCTTTTAAATACAAATAAAATTGTTTCATTTTTATTTGAAGTTTCTTTTTGGGAAGTATTTTATTGACAACAAAAATGAAATTTTTTGTGATGTACAACTATACAACCTCTTTGGTGGTATACCATAATATCTTTATCACACATGCGCTTATCGGGCAAACCCGCCAAATTCATAATACAACGTATTTTGTTATCAATTATCATTATGATTATTATCCACAAACGAAAAGCAACAAAATTTTAAAAACATTTTACTTTTTTATTTGAGATTTTTATATTTAAACGTATTTTATTAATATATTATTATAATGGATGAAGATAGCCGAATACTGGAAATGTTAGAAGACGTGGAAAATGGTAAGTCGCTTAATATTTTTGGTATTAGGGATAAATAAATTAAAACTAACCATAGGTATTATGTGGTTATTGTTATATTTTAGATAATTTTTCAACATCTGGCGAATCATATGCAGAAGATTCTCATCAAAGTGATGGTAATTCGTACATAACTGACAGTGATGCTGATCATTCTACAACACTATCAAGCTCAAATATAAGTTATACCAGTCCGGCTATTGCAGTTGCTGCAAATAACATAAATAATAATGATAATGAAATTGACAGTGATAGTGTGGTAAGTTCTGATTCTAACACTGATGCAGAAGAGGATGAAAGTGATTGGGAAGATGAAAAATTTGGTAATATACAAGATTTTGAATTTGATGTTAGTACAGCTGGAACAAAATTTGAAATAAACAATGAGACTTCAGCTATTGATGTTTTTTTTAAATTTTGGGATGAGGAAGTATTCAACTTATTACTTACATGCACTAATAACTATGCAAAAAAAATTGGCACTTTAACTCGTCCTCATACAAAAGGTAGTAGAGCTAAAAATATTACAAAAATTACTCGAGAAGACTTAGAAAAATTTATTGGATTATGTTTACTCAAGAGTCAGTTGAAAATCCCAATATTACGAAAAGCATTTAGCAATAACCCAATGTATTACCATCCCATTTTTAATTATACTATGTCTGGTAGAAAATTTGAAAAAATTCTTAGATGTTTTAATAGCTCCGAAGGTGTTTCTATAAATCCTTGTGATAGATTACATAAAGTTTCAACATTAGTTGACATACTAAAAAACAAATTTCAATCTAATTTCAGCCCTTATGAGGCTCTATCTTTGGATGAGTCCATGTTGCTTTGGAGAGGGCGACTATTATTCAGACAATATATAAAAAATAAAAAAAACAAATATGGAATTAAGTTTTTTGAGTTATGTACACCTGACGGTTATGTACTGAATACTGAAATTTATAAAGGAAAGACTGATCAGGTGTCAAATGGTTCAAAAATAAATGATCTAGTCATCAGATTGATGAAACCATATCTAAATAAGGGTCACCATTTATACATGGACAATTTTTATAACTCAGTGGATTTGTCAAATATTTTGTATAAGAAGAAAACACATACAACAGGCACATTAAGAAGTAATAGAAAGAAAAATCCAAAATCAATTACAACAAAAACATTGAAATTGAAATTTGGTCAACATGTTTTTGCTAAAAAGGGCCCAATTTATGTCAGTCGCTGGAGGGATAAACGGGAAGTGCTATCAATTACAACTGGACACAAACCTGAGATGGTTTCAGTCAAAAATAAATATGGACAACAAAAAATGAAGCCCAAGCACATTGCTGAGTACAACTTAAACATGTCAGGGATTGATCGAAGCGACCAAATGATAAGTTACTATTCTTCACCAAGAAAAACTATTAGGTGGTATAAAAAAGTTATCTTCCACTTTCTGGATATTTCTGTATGGAATGCATACTATTTGTATAAAAAATCCCTGTCAACTAGCAACTACCGTTTTATTGATTTTCGTGAAGCCATAATTCAAAAACTAATATATTTACCAGAGAACATTATTCATGGAAACCAACTAATTAAAAATAAAAATATTCGTAGAAATATGAATAATTTACCAAGACCAACATCGCCAATTTTAGGACACATGCAAGAAAAAATTCCACATCCTCCAGGTATAACAATATAAAAAATATTTTAATATAACATTTTGTAAAATTATTGTTTTAGGTTGGAAAAGAAGTGGATATTTCCTGCGATGTAGACAGTGCACAAAGCAAAAA